AGGTCAAGAGATCGAGACCATCCTGGTCAACATGGTGAAACCCCGTCTCTACTAAAAATACAAAAAATTAGCCGGGCATGGTGGCGCGTGCCTGTAATCCCAGCTACTCGGGAGGCTGAGGCAGGAGAATTGCCTGAACCCGGGAGGCGGAGGTTGCGGTGAGCCGAGATCACGCCATTGCACTCCAGCCTGGGTAACAAGAGCGAAACTCCGAATCAAAAAAAAATAAGGACTCTCTATAGGTTATCTATAAGGCCTCCTAATGAAGACACCACGGTTATCATAATGAGCAAATAGGCTGTGTGTGGCCTTGTGTACTGCTGAAAAGAAAGCTGAGTTACGACGCACTCCATTCTGTCCCATTACTAGATAAATGAGCCCAGGGCAGCCCCTAGGTCCGTTGTTCACTCTAGGCTGAGGCTGAAATCTGTTAGTGCATAAAGCCCACTGGCTTCAAACTCAAGTTTTTTATACATCCAATTGTTTTAAACACAGACCAAATGGGCAGATTTTTAGCCACGTAGAGCCCACCTGCTTTGCATACCTCACGAAACTGCTCCCAACGTGCCAACTGCAAGCTTCTCTGCCCTTTGGAGCTCCTGGACCCAAGAGGTCTTCCTCCCCACTGTGCTGAGTGGTATCGCCTACAGACATGTGGGTGGCCTCTCCAATTCTACCCCACCTCTGCAGCGTTCCCCATCCTCCTCTCCTTTTGAGTAGGGACCCATACACTGTAGCCCCTGGATGGGCTCCTGCTGTGAGGGACGTGCCCCACATGCAAACCTGTGAAAATGCCACCCCAAGAAAGCATGTGCATACCTGCCACCTCTCAGTTCTCTTTCCCTTGAGCAGTTTGCAAACCCCTCGAGCCTCCTATACCTGTAAGTTTCAAAGTCAGTCTAATCCCGATATCATGAGGAGTCCAGATTGCAGAGTTGTGTCTGAAGAATTCCTCCCAGAGCCTCGACCCAACACAGTCAAGGCTCTCACTTAGATTTTTTTTGGAAACAGAATTTCACTCTCTTTGCCCAGGTTAGAGTATAATGGCTCGATCTCAGCTGAATGCAACCTCTGTCTCCTGGGTTCAAGTGATCCTCCTGCCTCAGCCTCCCGAGTAGTTGGGATTACAGGTACGTGCCACCACACCCAACTGATTTATATATTTTTAATAGAGATGGAGTTTCACCACGTTGGCCAGGCTGGCCTTGAACTCCTCACCTCAGGTGATCCACCTGCCTCGGCCTCCGAAAGTGCTGGGATTACAGGCGTGAGCCACCGCGCCCGGCCCAGTCACTCAGATTTTATGACAGAGATGGAGAAAGAAGATCTGATCGCACATGAGTGGACTGGATGGCCAACGTCTCTGTGGTTTTATGGCAAATGCTTTGACACAGAGAACAAAGGGTTAATAGTCCCTTTGGGGGAGTAAATGAATGTTGGAGAATGGCAGGTATCTGCTGGAAGCTAAACTGCTCGATCTCCAACCATGAAATAAAGCTAACTAGGCTTGTAAGCAGTTTCCAGTGAGGCAGGAAGAGGCCAGCAGGGAGGCTGCTAAGAAGAACCACACACCAGACAGTCTTTTTAAGGTACGACCGGGACGTAATATTTAAGAAATACTTAATCATGCCTTTGTCTTAAGGTTTTTCTGATTTTATGCTATTATACAGGATAATTTAAGGAATGTTCCATCAGCTTTATGCTTAGTGACTCTGGGCTTCGTAAAAACAGATGCGTATCTGACCTTTGAAGAATAAGATGTAGACAGAAGGAAGGGATGAAGATAACATACAAGAGATAAGATTCTAAAGTTATCACTGATTTAGGAACTCTAGGCTCAAGCCTGTGATCCCAGCACTTTGGGAGGCCGAGGCGGGTGGATCACGAGGTCAAGAGATCGAGACCATCCTGGTCAACATGGTGAAACCCCGTCTCTACTAAAAATACAAAATATTAGCTGGGCATGGTGGCGCGTGCCTGTAATCCCAGCTACTCAGGAGGCTGAGGCAGGAGAATTGCCTGAACCGAACCCAGGAGGCAGAGGTTGCGGTGAGCCGAGATTGCGCCATTGCACTCCAGCCTGGGTAACAAGAGCGAAACTCCGTCTCAAACAAAAAAAAAAAGAAAGAAAGAAAAGAAAAGTGCTTGGCACACAGTAAGTGCTCAATATATTTCAGAATGGAGGGTACATTATTGAAAAAAACAACAGCTCCATATTTCTCTTTTTAAAATTAGGTGGGCGTGGTGGCGTGCACCTGTAGTCCCAGCTACTTGGGAGGCTGAGGCAGGAGAATTGCTTGAACCCAGGAGGTGGAGGTTGCAGTGAGCCAAGATGGCTCCACTGCACTCCAGCCTGGCAACAGGGTGAGCCTCTGTGTCCAGAAAAAAAAAAAAAAAAGGCACTGCAATGTGGTCAGATGAGTGCGTCAATTGTTGGTATAAAAAAGTGCTTTGCCTTTTGGGAAAAGTAAGTGTAAGAGTTTTTAATACACGCATACTCCCTGACTCAACATCGCGTTTTTTTTTGAGGAACCTATGAAGCAGAGTCACTCGGCACAAAGCTTATGGAGTACTCCTTAAATCATCCTACATGATACTATAAGATCAGAAACACCTGAAGCCAGACAAGGGCATGATTAAATATTTCTAGTGCATTATTATGTATTATCAACCCACTTAAAAATCATACTTTAAAGAACACAAGGAAAAGCTCATACAACATTGTTTAGGGAAATATGAGCTGTTTGAGTCTAAAGGGAACTCCACTTTTTTGTCGTTGTTGTTGTTGAGACAGAGTTTCACCCTGTTGCTGCCCAGACTGGAGTGGAGAGGCACAATCTCAGCCCACCACAACCTCCGCCTCCCGGGTTCAAGCGATTCTCCTGCTTTGGCCTCCCAAGTAGCTGGGATTACAGGCATGCACCACCAATGCCTGGGCTAATTTTGTATTTTTTTTTTTTTAAGTAGAGATGAGGTTTCTCCATGTTGGTCTGGCTGGTCTTGAACTCCCAACCTCAGGTGATCTGCTCACCTCAGCCTCCCAGAATGCTGGGATCACAGACGTCAGCCACAGAGCCTGGTGGTAACTCCACTTTCTTAGACAAACATACCAGAGGGAGAAAGACAGCCAACTCCTGGACCCAGAAGTCAGCAGTGCCAGTCCCCGGGCAGCTAAAAATCCATGTATACCTTTTGACTTGCCCAACACTTAACTACTTATACCTAATATTGGCAGTCAATAAACAGTCAATTAACTGTAAAAAAGTTATCAATAAACACTCAACGCTTAAGTAGACTAACATCTATATTGTATGCGTTCAACAACATGTCTTTCGTTTTCTAAATATTTCTAGACTTCCTGGTTCATCCACAGGCTGTCATACATCTCCCCCCAACTTTTCCGATAAATTTTATTTTTGAAACTTCACATAAGTGGACCAGTGCAGCTCAAACCTGTGTTGTTCAGGGGTCGACTGTAAATCTGTTAAGCACATTCGTGTAACACAAGTGTTTTCTTCTTTTAAATCTTGGATCTAGGTGTTTTTCCCGCTAAGTGGACAATTTGATTAGGGATAAGTTAAACCTCACCCAGTCCAACCCTTCCCCAGATTCCCAAACTCTTCCCTCTGAAGCAATGAGCGCTGTCCTTGTAACTGATACTTATTCTAAGAGGCTTCTGAGTTCAGGAGTCAACTGTGTTTCCTTCTAGTGACTAAGACTAGTTTGTCTAAGAACGTGGAGCTAACTTCAGACTCAAACAGTTCCTATTTCCCTAAACGCTGCTGTATGAGCTTTTCCTTGTGTTAAGGTATGGTTTTTTAGGTGGGTTGATGATAATGCACCAGAAATAGGTACTCCTGCCCTTCTCAGTCTTTAGGTGTTTCTGGTTTTATACTATTATAGAGGATAATTCAAGGAACATTCCATAAGCTTTATGCCTAGTGACTCTGCTTCAGAGCTTCCTTAAACATAAATGCGGCTGGGCACGGTGGCTCATGCCTGCGATCCCAGCACTTTGGGAGGCCGAGGTGGAAGGATCACATGAGGTCGGGAGTCTGAGACCAGCCTGAGCAACATGGAAAAACCCCGTCTTTATTGAAAAATACAAAAGTAGCTGGGCATGATGGTGTGCACCTGTAATCCCAGTTATTGGGAGGCTGAGGCAGGAGAATCGCTTGAACGTGGGAGGCAAAGGTTGCAGTGAGCCAAGATCACACCACTGCACTCCAGCCTTGGTGACAGAGTGAGACAACAGATACAATTTTATGTGTCAACTAAGTTTGCAAAAAAAAAAAAAAAAAGGACGACACAGGTTTAACCATGTAAATTTGGAAAAGGTAAAACAGCTTGGGGCTGGGCGCGGTGGCTCACACCTGTAATCCCAGCACTTTGGGAGACCGAGGCGGGTGGATCACGAGTCAAGAGATCGAGACCATCCTGGTCAACATGGTGAAACCCCGTCTCTACTAAAAATACAGAAAATTAGCTGGGCATGGTGCCTGTAATCCCAGCTACTCAGGAGGCTGAGGCAGGAGAATTGCCTGAACCCAGGAGGCGGAGGTTGTGGTGAGCCGAGATCGCACCATTGCACTCCAGCCTGGGTAACAAGAGCGAAACTCTGTCTCAAAAAAAAAAAACAAAACAACAAAAAA